CTTTTCTGATGAAGGGTCTAGGCCCGAGACGTCAGCCTTCCTGCTCCTATGATGCTGCTTGGCCTGCTGTGTTCATCCAGCTCTACACCTTGTTATCTCAGATTTTCCAGCATCTGCAGTTCCTACTATCTTTAGTACATGCCAACTGGCTTTCCCACCAATACTTACACAGAGACATCTCCAGTAGCCAAACAGATGACCAAAGATAGAGAGCAGCAACTGGTAAATAAGGCACGGTTCCCAAGCATGGAGCTGAGTACAATGTAAGTGCATTCACAAATGTCAATTCTGAAGAAGCACTGATTGATAGTAAAGACAGACGGTCATCAGCAATCCAGTTATGAAGAGAGAGAGAATGCCTACCAGCAACCTAGCTTCAAAAACACAAGAACTCTCCCTTCCACTGCTGCCTCACAGTGCCAGGGGCCAGGGTTTGATTCCATCCTCAGGCGACTGTCTGTGTAGAGTTTGCATTTTTCTCCCTGTGTCTGTGTGGCTTTCCTCTGGGTGTTCCGGTTTCGTCCCACAGTCCAAAGGTGTGCAGGTTTGGTGGATTGGCCATGCTAAATTGCCTGGTAGCATCCAGGGATGTGCAGGCTAGGTGGGTCAGCCATGGGAAATGCAGGGTTATGGGGTTACAATGGGGTGTGGATCTGGGGTGGATGCCCTTCGGAGGGTGGCTACAGACTCTGAATGGTCACTTTCTACACTGTAGGGATTCTACGATTCCATCTGTTTCGTGCCTAAAAGAACCAAACTCACCTAAAGAGACAAACCGCTATCAACGAAGGGTTTCAGAAAATGCTGGAAAAACACAGCAGCTACAAAAAAGAATGAGAGCATGAAGATCCCAGTTTCCGAGATACAATTGAAGACAGAAAGCCCTGTGGATGGAAGGCTAATATACTGTAGCTTGTCTCTTGTATCTGCCCCACACAAAGCTTTGCAGGCAAATTGCAATATGCTTCTAGAGCAATTGATTGTCACAAATACAAGTAACACAACAGATGAAATTTAAAGAAAAAGAACCAGTCAGGAAATCTGCTGAACAAAAGCAATTACAGGCTGAAAGTAAAAATGTGAAAGATTGGACATTTCAGCCTTAAACTGAAAGATTATTTTGATTTGTGAGGAGGAGGAAATTTCAAGAAAGGATCAAGTATTTATTTGGAGGTAAGCCGGGCTGGACAGAGTTGGTAGAGAGGTATGGGAAAAGCCACTGAAAAAGGAGACAAACATCAAGATAAAGATAAGGTCCCCCTTATCCTCAAACACTTCCGCCAGCTCCAATTTAGACCCCACCACCCAGAACATCTTCCACTCCACAACCCTTTCTGTTTTCTGCAAGGACCATTCCCTTCACCACTCCTTAGTTCGCACCACACTCCCAACCAACCACTCCAACCCGCCCGGTACCTTCCCCTGTAACCCTAAAAGATGCAACACCTGCCCACACACCACCTCCGTCACCTCATTCAGAGCTCTAAACAGTCCTTCTGAGTGAGACAGAGCTTCACCTGCATCTCCTCCAACCTCGTCTACTGCATCCAGCGCTCCTGATGTGGTCTTCTCCACAGTGGTGAGACCAGACATAAACTAGGTGACCATTTCACCAAGCATCTTTGCCTGGCCCAAAACGGCTAGCCGAACCTCCCAGTCACCACCCATTTCAAACAACACCCCTCCCCATCTGATATGTCCATCCTTGGCCTCCTCCAGTCTCAGTGACTTAGAACGCAAATTTGAGAAACACCATATTTTCCGTCTAGGCACCCTATAGCTCGAAGGACTTAAAATTAAGTTCTCCAATTTCAAATAACCTTCCCACCCATCCTTTTCTAGCCCTGCCTCATCCCTTCCATTCCACCTACCAACCAAGACGTACCTACTACTGTTGTCCACCTATCACCACCATTCCGCTACCCTCACCATCCACCCTCTATCTGCCGCTCCCCCCTACCCCCACATCCAGTCCTGAAGAAGGGTAATACCCAAAACATTGACTGCTCCTTTCCTCCAGATGCTGCCTGGCTTGCCTCCTGTTTGTCTACCTTGGATTCCAGCATTTTTTTTTGGTCTCTAACTAAGGTGAGACTTTGAGATACTCCTACAGAAAGTCAGCACAGACCCAATGGGCTGAATGGCTTTGTTCTGTGCTTTAGCCTGTAATTCTATAATCTGCAACTGAAAGGATGGTGTTATTAAAACAAAAAAAAAGGCAGTCTTATCTGAAAACACATCGAGAGTAGTTTACAGAAATGTAATCAAACATTCAGCAGTTGCAAAAAGTACTAGACAAATGTATGTCTTTTTCTCTTTTTTACGACCAAGGCAAAAAGACAACACAGAATGCAAACTCTGCAATGGCAGGTCACAAGTTCAGTTCCAAGAAGAAACTAAACACAACTTCCGTCTCCATTTCAATCAAAAGACAATGTAAAAATATTACACTCATCAACACAGATATAGGTCACAGAGCCCCACCAGGCTGTATCAGTGTTTACCCTTCATGTGACTAAACATTTCCAATTCTACACTCCCACCCCATTCCCAATTCCCTCTAACCGTTTCTTCATCCACCCAGCTAATCTAATCTCCCACATTTTCCTTAGTTTCGACATCACAATTCAGGAGGTTTCTCCTGTCATTTGTGGCAAATCTGTAAATTTAATTTCTCGTCTATGGATTCCAGTCATCAAGATTAAACCTAAAATCTGACTGGACAAGTTTATCAACTCTATCAACCCACGGTACTGTCCCCCTGCAAAGTTCCTCTGACATTAAGTGGAATGGGACTCAGTACAAAGTTTAATTAATACAGTCACCTTTTAAAAATATGCATCATCTTATATTTACTGACAACTGAATTCATTTTGCCACTTTTTAGCCCATTCGGATATCTGATTAATATTGCGGTTTCTCTTGCCCTTCCAAAGGATCAGGATAGATCCCATTTAAATTTGTCTTGAAGGTGTGCCATCACTTATATTAGGTTCATATCCAAATCGTTCATCATAAACAAATTCTACACAACTGAATCCTAAAGGACCCTATCATCCAGTTCCAACCAGCCCTTAAAACAAAACATACCCTATAATTTTAGTTAACTTTGCAGATTAAATAACTTGTCCAGAAGTTATGCCACAAATAAAGTTGAACTCTCTCTGCACCAAAATCCCAATGGATCAATTATGTTTAATGTCATACAAGGACACAATGATTTGCCAATGTCAACCCATCAGATAAGGCATTTTCTCCCGAAAATGCTGACTCTTCAGGAGTTGACATTAGACAGAAGCCAGCACCTTCCCTCCTCCACAAGCAAGAACATTTTTCACTCCACACGCAAATCCAAGCCGGTGATTGTCAGACTTTGCAGCCAAGTCTGATCTCGGCCTCACTAGCAACCGCAAAAGATGACTGGCAGAATTCCCAAATCCCTCGTGTCTCCCCATTTCCCTGCAACTTATGTCCACATTGAACTCTGGCCCCTTTCATCATGGGCATTGATGCTCACTTTTCAGGCTTCCTAATGCTTTCCACTTATCAAACACAGCCTGGTGAAAATCATCTCATGTTAAGCACTTTGCATTTCGTTGGCTTTTTAAGTATCATCTGCCTCTCCAACCAGAATGGGAGCTGGGACCCAAAAGGGACTTGCTTTTCCTTCCTCTAGCTGGGGTGAAAGGCTTTTTGTCCAATATTAACCTGTCATTTCAGATTAATACAATTGTAAAAATGAACCATCAACGTTCAACTCCTATCATCAAATTATCATATCAGTGTGCTTTCATGGACTAAAAATGTTCTAACAATAGACAAGTACTACTTTTGTTTAATTCATTCATAGGATGTGACATCATTAGCTAGGCCAACATCTATAATTGCTCAGAGGGCAGATAAGAGACAACCGTATTGCTCTGGGTCTGGAGTCACGTGTAGGCCAGACCAGGTAAGGATGGCAGATTTCCTTCTCAAGGACCATAGTGAACCAACTGGGTTTTTACAACAATCAAATCTTATAATAATTACGTTGGATCAGCTTTTTATTGAAGTCAAACTTCATCTGCCAAGGTGGATTTGAACCCATGTCCCCAGAACATTAGCCTGAGGTACTAGTTCAATGGTATTACTGCATACACAACCACTTTCCCCTGCTGTGGATCATCTATGCAGGTGGAGCCAAGCTCATGAAGCCATTAAGTAAGGATCAGTCTGAGCTAAGATTAACATGGTTATAAAATCCACTGAAGCTCACATCTGCATCTTCCCATTGGCACATACCTTTCTAGGAGTCGCACATTGGCATTCAAGTCATCTGCTTGAAAGACAGACAACGGAATTAGATTCTGGAACACAAACAGCAGCTGCTTTAGAGCAGCACAATTGAGAACCACCAAAATAAAAGTGGATTTGCAAGCAAGAGGAGGAAACCACTCTTTTTGCTACCTCACTGAACCACA